GCCATTGCTAGTAGACATTATTTCCACCATCACATGTTCCCACGTCACATAAGTTAATCTTCGACAAAGAGACGTTTGTGGAAAACGAGCTGTATACTTTTATTTCGAGAAGGGAATTGAAAACAACATCTCCTTTCTCCTCGAAAATGTTAGCACGCGTGGTTACCCAACCATCGAATGAATAAGCGAACTTGGGAGTGCTAATTTTTCAGTTTGAGTTTGCATTAATCTTTTCATTGTGTGAGACACTTCCAATAGTTCAATGTGTTGATGTCTTTTAATTCACTATACATTTTTATGGCACTAACAAGCTAACGGCAGTCATATAGTGTTAGTGCTTTGTACTGGTTGCTCAACAACTTATATGCTACGTTTATAAGAGAGTTGTGTAGGTTTGAAACAAGAAAACATCTATAGAGGACAGCCGCCATACTACCCTCAGTGGCTCAGCAGTACATTTGCAGGCTTGCAATGCTAAAATTCGTGATGGGCAGAGTACATGTAGTCCATTGTATAGCTTTGTGCTTAACGTTAACCGAAACCAAACTACTCTCATACTATATCATTAATATTTTAACACACATGAGATAGTATGTCAGATGGCTTTAAAGTTGCTGAATTTTTCGCTGAAACCTATGTTTGGGAGTTTCATGGTGCTTTTATTGGTAAAACTTTGGAAATAGCCAAATGACTCAGACAAGTTACTTTAGAGTCATATAGACGTACTGCATATATTATTTATTATTATTTAAAAACAGAAAATGTGAAATGTTATACTTTTGGTGAAGTATAGTTGATAATGCCAAAACCTGTGTAAAACTAGAAGGTAAAATTACATTTTTCTGTGCATTAAAACTACATCTAGAGAGTAAAGTTAAAATTTGTTATGCAAAAATGCAAGTTATTTCAAACACCCAGTAACCATTTAATTAGCACTGTCACGTATGTTACTATTCAAATGTCTCATAATACAAAGAAAGTTTTCGTCATCACCATTTTACTTGACATGCTTTCCCCAATTCTTGGAAAAAATTGATGTTATTCCAGATTTTACCCATGTTCACCCACAGGCTTACGATTTTTAAGTACCAATTCATTTTTAGAATACAAATATCGTAAATAACAAATATTTATATGGTGCAATTACATAAAACATCAGTCTGTTACCAAATGCCACTACAATCACAGCTGGATACAAAAGGTAGTGGCACTTGGCTTGTTATATGTCATGCACGATGCATATACACATGGTATTGGCACTCGGTTGGTCATGCAGGGTGCACTTAGCAGATTACATGTCATGCACGATTCACACGGTGCTAGCACTTGGCTGGTTACATGCCGTGCACGATTCACATGGTACTGGCACTCGGTTGGTCATGCAGGGTGCACTTAGCAGATTACATGTCATGCACGATTCACACGGTGCTAGCACTTGGCTGGTTACATGCCGTGCACGATTCACACGGTGCTAGCACTTGGCTGGTTACATGTCACGCACGATTCACATGGTACTGGCACTCGGTTGGTCATGCAGGGTGCATTTGGCAGGTTACGTATATACATCATACTAACAAATACAGAAATATATTCAAGAAGGTTACAATAATAATTAAAAACTGAAATTATTGGAAGTAAGTTTAAATTACAATCTATGTAGAGGATTGTTTTCATGTTAACTTAAAGCAATGAAACTCTAGATATGTAATAAGAAAATTAAGAAGTTAGAACGAAAATGGAAGGTATCATTATCTATCAATAATAAACGAAGTGTTTGAATAAGTAAGATTAATATTTTGTTTCGTCGAGTTTGTTATAGTTTAACTATTTTTATAACGTTCTTCAAGATATACCCATATGATTGATTGTGCATATAATAGCTCAATTTACAATCTTTGTATTCCTGAAAAGAACTGTCTCGTGTTAATGTATTCATAAAACGTTCAAACTAGATATTTCATCTGAATCGTATAAACTAAAATAAGCAGTACGACAGTTAACAAGTATTCAGTCTATCATGGCGTATATAGTCCTGTTTGCATTTCTAAGTTCCATTAGATCTGATTTTACTCACAAACTATTAAATTCTTTATGAACATTTCGCTCCAACTAAATACAGTGAAATATGTAACACTCATATTATGCTTTGTCAAATAGTTTTCTAAATAATGGACTTCCCGCCAAACAAATCGAATCTTACACTTCTGTATTTGAAAAACATTTTCTTTTTCTGTAGAACATTTCAATTCACTTTGAAGTACAAAGGGCTTTAACGGAGTGTTCAAGTATCAGGTGTTAAGACATAAAGAGTTATACCACAGAGTTAAAATTTGCAAAACTTTGTAATTTTTCAGTGGAATCTTTTTGATGTAAACTAAATAAATTTCTCAAAAATTACGTACTAACAGAAGTACTACATACTCATTTCACTACCCGTACTGATTCTACTATATACTAATAACGTAAAGGTCATTTATATGGTCATGCGGCATATATGACAGTAGTTTAAATTTCATAGCATATTCCAGGAACACTGATTTATCAGATTAGGAAGTGTGGTTTGTTTGTTGAATTTTGCACAAAACTACCCAACGGTTATCTTCACTAGTTGTCACTATTTTAGAAGTAGTGTATTAAAGAGAAGGCAACTACTCAACCCCCACTCTTGTGCTAATCTAATCAAATAGTGAGAATGACTATCAGGTTATATAGTCCCCAGAGGTGAAAGGGCAAGCACATTCAGTGACTCTGTTTGATTCCGAAACCAATAATTTGCGAGTTGAGTGCCCTAAATATCAGACCATGCCACGCCTAAGAAGTGTGGTCAAGTTGCTTCAAGCATGTTATATTTGTCGTAGACATTTTGTGTATATACATATTGTACATAATCATTCTATGTTAGTCTACACCAAATGTATGATTTATAATTTGTGGATGATCATATGTGCAAACTATGAATCACACTCTACAAATTGTAAAAATGTAATACATGAAACATAAAATATTGATTTTTACATATTCAAATACTTTGCTTATTAGTGAATAAATGGGTATTTATGTGAAACTGCAAAGTAAAAAGTTGACCAAAACGATAACGCAGAATTAATACTATGACTGAAATTTTTTGCAATCGAGTTCAAACAAAATTAATTATGATGTACGTACAGGGTGAGACACGTTGACGTCGGCCAGTTTCAATGCCGGGGGTGCATCATACAGAACACTGCCCTTTGGCAGCACACTCTGAAGCTATGATGTCACAGGTCATGTCACCACTAGCCTCAAAAGATACTTTCCTACCTTTCTCCAACATGACTGCTCCACCGACGAAAACCTTATTCTAGATGGCTGCACCCACTAAGGGTCGCCATATTGGTGATGTGGTTTGAAAAGTCAAGGGCTTTCATCTTGGTGGCTGTGACGTAGAGGATTAGCGGTTGTCATCTTGACAAGTTGGTACCCTAAAATGTTTATGCACAATACCATGCTAGGAAACGAATATATTCCAAAATATGTGATTATTGTGGATTAGAACAATTTCCAAACTGCACTTTAGGAATTAAGATTTCTAACTAATATTCACTAATCTATTAAAAAATTCAACTTGCGATTCAAATTGAACTTTTGGGAACAAGTGAGAGAATATTACTAAAATACTAGTAATTTTGTAAAAACAATTTATTTCTAAATCTGTTGAGGGAAGGGAGAGACAATCACATTGTTATTTACTGCTGGTTTACACAGCCAGATTTTTTGGGAAAAGGACTTTTTAGAAAGAAGTTATATCTATAAGCATATGTTGTGGTAAGTGTTGAAATATAACGAGTTCTCTGACTCGGAATTTTTTTCTTTCATGATTAAACGAGATCCAGGGGATCTATGAATAGGATTTGTTGGATTTTGTGTAAAGCTACACAAGAGCTATCTGTGCTAGCCATCTCTTATGTTTCTGATAGTTCTATTAAAATGATTTTGTTAAGCTATACTTATCCAAATTTTCAAGTATATTTTGTTTCTTTGTTTTGAATATTTGTACAAAATTACTAATTTTGTGTTTAAGAGAACAGCAATTGTGTTAAGTAATAAAAAGACATGTTGTATCCATTCATTTCAACGAATAGACAATATTCAATTTATCAAGGGAGAAAAATTTAATTCGTTTTGCAAAATTAATTTATTCAATTCTTAAATAATACAAAATGGTAAAATAAAATGTTACATAAAGTTGGTCTAGTTATTTTAGTTCTCCCGGCTTTATTTAGCCCTTATGGATTAAAGAGCTCTTTCCATTGAGAGAACAGTTCTGTTTTGTGTTTGCAGAACTCGGCACTTCCAGTATTTCTGCATTGAATATTCATTTTCACTTTGTCCTACACTGTGTTTGGTCGGACAGTCAGAAATTCAGCAGAATTCCGCATCACATTTTCTGCCTTCCCGCCAATTGTCTACCTATATCCATAAGGTTATTAGTGAACCCGAGGATATCACACCTTCAAGAACAAGTATATAGCGATTGTTTCGTGTTTCAAGGTGTTAACCTGTGGTCGTTTAGTGATAAATTCTTTCTCTGGAACTTTAAATGTTGTTTAAAGTTACTTTAATCAAATACATTGAAATATAACATCCACATTATTCAATACGTATATCTAATACATATTAATAGAAATAAATAAATAAATACAATAAATAAATAAATATAATGTGAATAAAGACTTACGAAAATATAACACTAAAGTTAAGACTTCGTTCTTTTACAATTTAGGGATACTAATGGGACAAAGTTTGAAATCAATTTGATCATATAAACATTTTGAAATTATTTTGGCTATACAATAAAAATAAATTGGTTAAAACAGATATCTTTGCAGATTTTCTCACAACTGATTACTGTTGTCAATGTATGTTTATATACAAAATAGACGTAACATTTATTTCACGTTTAATTTGTAGTCCAGAAACTTGTTACACCAATCATAAATATCATTTTTTCCATTGCAACACTTAGTATACACCTTTGGGTTATCAACAGTTTTGGCACACCGCTCACAAAGGTCGCGGTGGTCACTTTTTTTGGTACACATGCTACTACTGACTCGACGAGGATTGTTGAGCTTCGGAGAAGTGATTTCTTCATAAGCATATTCCATGGAATCTAAACTAGGCCGAGTCTCTGATATCGATAGAGTCAGCATTAGTGTAAAAAGAAAGAGTAGACAAACTGCTGGGACCCTCATTTCTGGTATATCTGAAATAAAATAAAAACACACAAGTAAGAACATGAGCCATTTATATTGATTACATTAGTTTTAGTTAAAATAAATGTACAACTGATTTAAAAAACAATAACTACCAAAATGATTAGATAAATGAAAATATTTGTGACCAAAATCATTAATCCTATAGCGCACAACAGAATAAATACAGGATTTAGAAGAAGGTGGGTTGACTGACCGCTCGCCACAAACATAACGTTAAACGAAGAAGAAAAAATCCAGAGGAAGATGGCTTTCAACTGAAAATACAAATAAGCTATCTGGTCACCAAGAAGTAGTGTTTAAACTAGACGCTGACACAATTATCAAACCTTGTAAAGTTTAGTTCTTGTATAACAGTGTTTTAGTATTCAGAATATTCAATACATATTTTTATATAAAGCTCATTTTTGTAAATAATAAAGTGCTGTTCTTTATTTCAGTGAAGCGCGTCTAGGTAACACTATGTGTCAGTTGGTGTTTTTGCTACTTGAGACAGCTCAGCTCTAAGCTACAACAACATCCAATCTGAAAGAAAACAAGTGCGATTATTGGATGTCTTATGCTTGTTTCCTTCCCAACTCGGGCCTAGCATGGTCTGGTGATTCAACTCGCAATCTGAGGGTCACTGTGGGGGCGTTATGATGTCACGATCAATATCACTATTCGTTGGTGAAAGAATAACCCAATAGTTGGCGGTGGGTGGTGTTGACTATCTGCCTTCCTTCTAGTCTTTCACTGCTAAATTAGAGACGATTAGCGCAGATAGCCCTCGTGTAGTTTGCGCGAAATTCAAAACAAACCCAACTTTTCCAAACCTAGCATGAAGGAGGAAAAGGTAGAATATCAAACCTGACCCTCCCGATAAATTCTAGCATGATTAGATATTGGTCAAGCGAAGGCTACTGAACGTAGACGTGCTATGACAGCACTATATACATATATCTAACTTAAGCAACCCAGATGAAAAATTTGGGACTAGCAACTCTTTCAGGTTATATAAATATTTTTTTTAGTTCTATCTGCCTCCTCCGCAGGGAATCGAGCTCCGGATTTTACTGTTGTAAGTCTGTTAACCTACCGCTGATCCACCGGAGGACCATAGGTATAGAGGGTAAGGAAGAATAATCATGTCTATTCCCTGCAAGTAAACTAATAATTTGACACTTCATTCTCGCAGGCTTACTGTTTTCCAACGCAAAACAGTACAACCCTATGGGTCTATAGCAAGTAGGTGTATAGCTCTTTGGTTGTACTGTTTTGGGTCTATGGGTCTATGGGTCTATAGCAAGTAGGTGTATAGCTCTTTGGTTGTACTGTTTTGGGTCTATGGGTCTATAGCAAGTAGGTGTATAGCTCTTTGGTTGTACTGTTTTGGGTCTATGGGTCTATAGCAAGTAGGTGTATAGCTCTTTCAGATTCCAGCATTTGGAAGATTTCAATATACTTTTGAAACTTTGTCTCACGTTTTCCAAGTACCCAGTAAGTAGCTGGTGTTTTTCTCTTCGTAAAACATGTAAAATACATAAATTTATTCGGTTTTAACATCTACGTTTTCGGCAGACACATAAATACCTAAGTTATCTCACTAATTCTTCTGCCAGACACAAACTAGAGAATATGAAACTACAACTTACTTTGATTTATTTTTACTGCTCTGAAGCTTGAAAAGACGAGATGTTGGGATTCTGTGATAAAAGAAACATACATCAGTACTCTCTTCATCAAATATACGATCTTTATATCTTCGTAACTATATATGTTCTCTATCTCCTAGTAACTCTTTCTAGGTTAAGTATACGGTATCTATATCCTAGCAACTGTTTCTAGGTTAATTATATGGTCTCTATATCCTAGTAACTGTTTCTAGGTCAAAATACCTAACCAAGGTTTCATGACTTCGTTGTCAACCATTGAACAGGAACTAACAACTCGTTTCTATGCTGTTTGTATTTCGACTCATCTCTACGTCAATTTTATTTTTGCACAGAGTCTGTCATTTGTTGTGGATATATAAATATACTGATATGGTAAAATACGAAGAAACAAAAATATGGAGCAGTATTATGTGCAAAAATATCGTAATTTATTTTAAGCAGTTATGAGATAAGTGTTAAAGCTTCCATTTCGAAAACTTACGAAAAGAACTATTAAATAGACATGTTTAAATGTATTTTTTTCAAACAATGTTGCACATCACATTGATATTAATGTGTTTTTTCCTTAAGTGGTTCTGACTGTTGGAATAAAGAACATTTTTGAAAGTAGACGTGTCTAGAGTAGAATACTAAGAATAATTCAGTCGTATTATGTTTTTCATTTAAATTGAAAATTAAATGCGTCCTACATAGAGGACGCTAAACATTCAACGTACATCCTGCATTCTTCAAAGGTTAGTTCAAGTTTTGACAACGCCATACATATAGGTCGACAGGCAACTGGGCTAACGTAATCAGTTTGTTAAAAATTCTGTCCGAAAATCACACATTACGTTTTAGAAAAATAAACATTATCATGAAGAAGAAGAAGCCTTCAAAAGTAATCTCATGAAGCATATAATACGAACACAGATGAGAAACCACACATTATGGAAACATTAAACTAACGTATATATCATAAACTTTAGTAAGATCTGGTACTTTATAATATAAGTATATAAATACACTACTTAGAGAGTATACATTATTGGACTCTCATTTAAAACATTGGTGAAATACATTATAGACTATTAGTTTATTCAATGAAACATTTTTAAATAACAAATAGACAAAAACAAGAGTTTAATCCAGTTAATTAGTTATAGAAGGAAAGAGTTTTCACTCAAAGACCACTAGTTATCGAGTTGCTCCATTAAAATACCACTAGTTATCGAGTTGCTCCATTAAAATACCACTAGTTATCGAGTTGCTCCATTAAAATACCACTAGTTATCGAGTTGCTCCATTAAAAGACCACTATTTATCGAGTTGATCCATTAAAAGACCACTAGTCATCGAGTTGCTCCACTAAAAGACCACTAGTAATCGAGTTGCTCCATTATAAGAGCACTTTTTAATGTAGCAACTCGATAACTAACTTGTGGTCTTTTAATGGATCAACTCGATAACTAGTGGTCTTTTAATGGAGCAACTCGATAACTAGTGGTCTTTTAATGGATCAACTCGATAACTAGTGGTCTTTTAATGGAGCAACTCGATAACTAGTGGTAACAAGTGGTCTTTTAATGTAGCAACTCGATAACTAGTGGTATTTTAGTGGAGCAACTCGATCGAGTTGCTCCACTAAAAGACCACTAGTTATCGAGTTGCTACATTAAAAGACCACCAGTTATCGAGTTGCTACATTAAAAGACCACTAGTTATCGAGTTGCTCCATTAAAAGACCACTAGTTATCGAGTTGCTCCACTAAAAGACCACTTGTTCGAGTTGCTCCACTAAAAGACCACTAGTTATCGAGTTGCTACATTAAAAGACCACCAGTTATCGAGTTGCTACATTAAAAAACCACTAGTTATCGAGTTGCTCCATTAAAAGACCACTAGTTATCGAGTTGATCCATTAAAAGACCACTAGTTATCGAGTTGCTCCAATAAATAGACCACTTGTTCGAGTTGCTCCATTAAAAGACCACTAGTTATCGAGTTGCTCCACTAAAATACCACTAGTTATCGAGTTGCTCATTAAAAGACCACCAGTTATCGAGTTGCTACATTAAAAGACCACTAGTTATCGAGTTGCTCCACTAAAATACCACTAGTTATCGAGTTGCTCCACTAAAATATCACTTGT